TATGCCCACCTAGCTTTTAGATTTGATGACAACCAGTGATGGGATTCAAAATTTCTTGCTATCAGTTCTATGGGCGTGGCAAGGCTTGGTGGGCATGGCTTGATGGGTATGGCTTGGTGGGCATGGCAGGGGAAGGATACTGCAAATCCCCATTCCCTCCTCACCCCACTAACCTGCTTTCCAGCTGCGTTCTCCTGTGCAGGGCAACAGAAGAAAATCCAGCCAATCAGCTGAGACTCAGGAGGCAGAGAATAGATGGGGGCGGAGCCAGCCAGAGGTAGTATTTTTCGGTGTCTGAACTACTCAAAATTTCCGTTACTGGTTTGTCAGAACCGGCTGAATGCCACCTCTGGTGACAACCAAAATCTTGGGTGGGGGGGAGGGGTGTGGAACAGTTATAGTTATCTGTGAATCTTTGAAATCTCTCATAAGCTTTCAGATAGCCATTCTGACCCTACCTTTATTAAATCTGTATAATTCTTGCCATCTTGATCTTGCCCCACTGGATGTGACTTGACATATGTATATAACAAGCCTAGTGGGTAAATTATAAATGGCCTTCCTTTACAAAAATACATTAAAGATTACATCCTAACACGTTTTATCTATATTATGACTTGGCCCCATTAGAGAACACAGCTTGAGTGCTGACATCATTCATCAGAGATCAAGAATTGAATATTTAAACTATTGCTTTTATTATAATTACACTGGTGCACAAATAAATAAACAATAAGTTATTATAAAATATTATCAAAGCACTAAAAGAAAGCAAAACTGGTTTTCAAACAACATCTTATTACTTGAAAAGTATCAAAGTACATTTAATTACATCTCACCTAAAAATAATCAAATACAAAAATGAAAAGAAATTAATATGTATTCATACTGTGTATATAGAAATGGTTAATATATGATTACAGTTATTATCTATCTACTTCATACACATTTCAGGTAAGTACCTGACATTTCTAATGAAACATGGAAAATAAGATGACATTCAGTTTTAAAGTATTGGTAAACATATTACAGTGGAATGGACATGTTATGGTTTCATTTTATTTAAAAACCCTGTCACTTATAAAGGTTGGGCCTTTGGCCCCTGTAAAAAAGAAAAACAAACAAACATTATTTAATACCATCAGTTAAAAATTAAGAAAAGAGGAGCAATAAACATACATTTGCTAATATACGTAAACACATTTTTAGTGCAAGAATTAACAAGACCTGTGACCTTACTGTGCTTTCTTGAAATCACAGTGCACTTGACACAAATTGCTACACTAGAATGCTTAGTTTTAGAAATGTAAAGCAAAGTTAAGTGCATACCAAATATTTTCCATATATACAATTAGTGTAAGCGTGTGGATAGCTATGCATGACTTAGATGTCATAGGGATTGCATATATCAATACAGCCATTTTAATGTGTTCACATTGCTAATACTGTTCAACCTCCACGCACTAAAACGGTAGAGCATAGAAAATGTTCAAATAGCATTTGGTTAGGGGGAATCCACGTCATCTCTCCAGGAGAAGCGTCCTTTCAAACTTGGAACAGACATGTCTGTGTTTTCAAAAGAGGTGAATTATTTGAGCTTTTCTATTACTGACAACTATCTGAAAACTTTCAGAAACTATTTCATCATTCAGAAAATCTTTCTATGGTCCAAATGGATAAAACTACTTCTGCCTTTCTGCCATAAGTATAACTTGGAAAATCAGGACAGTTAACAGGTACGGGGCAGGGGGGAGAGAATTCCATGCAGAAGAGGCATTCATTTACCTTTTAAACTGCTTTCTTGTTCAAGATGAGCCTTCTTAGGTATGGAAATGTGTAGAAATCTCACTTCAGAATGATAACAAACAGTTATCATTCACTCACAAGATGTTTGGTGGTTCAGACCTGATCAAGTAATTCAAATATAATGTATGCAGATATGGTTTAAACTATATATTATGTTAAACTTGGGCTTTTTGATGTGGACCTAGAGTAGAAAAATAAATCAAACAGCTTGAAAGAGTTGGGACACCTTGTCTTGGGAAGAAATCACTTCTGATTTTATTTTCAATTTTCCTAAAGTTCACAGATATGAATGCATGGGTGATTTTCAGAAACCATTAATTTGTAATTACTACACATGGAATAAGATATCATCTTCTTTGCAAGTATATCTACTGGGCAATTGCCAGCTTTGTGTGGTTTGGGGGCTCAAATAGCCCTATGACTGATGCTGATTGGATTTAAAAACTCTTAATAGGGTCAAAATAATTGAAAGAAGGAACAAAACTATGAGTGATTGATTCACAGAAAGGAAAGGGTTGGGTAGATATGTTACAGGTATTATGTTTCAAATTTGAAAAAAATAATTCCAGAATTAAGTCCAAAACAAGATAATATTATGTAACTAATAAAACTTCATGAACATTGCTGTAACATTTACTTGAGTTCACCAAATTTGAATGGTCATGTGTTCCATTTGTTTTGGGAAGAGTGTAGACCTTCAAGAAGTATACCACAATATGTGGCGTCATCAGAATTGCAAGGAATTCTTGTCTATTGATGGTGCCAGTACTGAAAGTGGAGTTATTCATTTTACTTGCAATCAGAATAATGGATATGAGAATCAGGAACAAAAGAAAACTTTGCATTGTCAAAATGAAGATGAAATGTACCAGTTGAATATTTTATTAGTAAGAAAACCTCAGTAGACTGAAGAATGCCACTTAAATACAAATGATATGCAATAATCTATTCGGGCTGTGTCTGGAGTGACAGTGATATGTAAAAAAGACATATAAGTGATAAAAGCCATATTAAATTAGTGGCTATTTTATAAACATTGATGTTACATTAGTATATGGATTTACTATAGATGAATTAGAAGAAGATGGTGAGAAATGTTATGGAAGATTGCATGAGATGCTAGTTGTAATATCAAGAAAGGCTATGACATTGCTACTAGGCAACTGCAGTGACGATGTAAAAGAAAATGAAAAATCACATGAAGTTTTCAATTGTCTCAACATAGTAAGGCAAGGAAGCTTTTTTGTTGTTGTTTATCAGTCCCACCTACTTCAAGTACCATAAATGGAAATTCAACACACATGGATATGATTGGATGAATAACTCTGGAATAAAATGGTGTACATAATGGAGTACACTATCTAGTCAGCCCGGGCACTTCTAAATGCACCTTCAATAACAGTGCACAAGAACCAACAATGAATTATTAGTGTGACATATAAGAGCCAGATTTAAAAAATAGTATAGAGAGTTGGTGTGCCAGTAAAATATGATATGAAAAACGTTAAATCAGAATGTGAAACCAAAATTAGAAACAATTTTATTCTATTATGCAAAAAAGAAATTGGAGAACTATATGAAGAAATGACACAAAGGCAAATCTATGAAACCTGTGCTTGCTGCTTAATGATGTCCATGCATGTCTTGATTTTATAAACCAAAACCACAATGTCAGTTCTTCCATTTTTGCTTGACAATATCTTGTGTGCTTCAGAAGAATTAGTTCTTATGGCAAAAAAGCAGTTATCTAAAGCTGCTACTGGCACATCTGCAACCAGGTCATTTTTAGCATTATAGCATTATAATACTATACAGAGCATTATAAATACTCTGCCAAGCAAGAACAACGCATTTTCCAGTATTCTTTTTACCTGCTTGTGTTCTATCACTGAGGAAAAATATGCATCTCAATATTCGTGTGTTGTGGACTAGGAAGTGGGAAAAGACTCTCAGGGAGCCATTCTCCATGTTGTCACTGGAGGCTCCATGGGTGAGGCGGGTGGGTTGACTGATAATACTGTAAGATTAAGAAAAAGGATGGAATGGGTGCTTGACAGGATCATTTGCAACAGGTTGGGAACAACATATGTGGTAATGGTTGAGAATATATAAACCTATCTTTTCTTCTCTGGATCAGTGAGTAAAATGGGTATATAAAGAAGAGCTGGGGACAAGCAGGAAACATGTAGAAAGGAGCCATTGGAGAGCAAGAACTTAGTTGGGAAGAAGGGAAGAGTTGAAGCTTTTTCTCTCAGGCTCAGTTCCAAGTCAGAACAAACAAAGGAGACATAATGCTCGACTTACATCTGGTTGCTCTGTGCTCAATGGATTTCTGAGTAATTGCAAATCTAGAACCAGGCCAGACTTCTTAGGACATACAGTAGGTAGACAATTTATGGCCTTCGTATAGCTCCCAGCTGTCCTCAGTATCAGGCATGTTTGCCTACCTGTGAGGCTTGTTGGGAATCAGCAGCTTCTGCAGGACTACATGTTGTGTATTGTTTATTATACCTTTGGGGAACAAGTCCTCAGACAATTCTGTAAAGACATTCCGCATAACAAAATCTTGTGTGCTTCAGAAGAACGGATACATTTTGCAGGTTTTCCAAATAAGCTATTTCAACATTTTCTTTCTTAAGAAAATAAGAACATTTTAAAAACTTAAGTAACATTTTCGTTTTTGGA